GTGTGTATGGAGAGAGAGAGTGAGGATTTTTATGTCAAGGAATTGGCTCAAGGCTTGCAGGTTAGAGAAAAGAGTTGATGTTGCATTTTGAGACTGAAGGCAATCTACCAGCAGAGTTCTCTCTTTGGAAGAGGTGAGATTTTTTCTCATATGACCTTCAACTGATTGGATGAGGCTCACCCACATTATGGAGGGTAATCAACTGTACTCAGAGTCTACTAATTTAAATGTTAATCTCATCTAAAGAATCCCTTCACAGCAGTATCTGGACTAGTGTTTGACCAAATGCCTGGGTACCATGTCCTAGCCAAGTTGACACACAAAATTCACTGCCACAGTGTTGGTCTTTGAACTCTTCAGGCATAATGTAGGGAAAGACAGTTTTATCGAAGGTTCAGTGGAAATGCATATTCCAGTTAACACTAAAATGCTGTATCCTTTCAGCCAAATCTTCCTTTCCACCTCTGGAGAATACCTGTGGAGCCGGCAGCATTCATAGGCAAGATCTTGGGAGGGAGCTGGGGGTTCGCTTAGGCTAATTTAGGGAGAGGAGTGACAGGAGAATCCCATTTAAGGTGGTCTGTTTATCCAGCAGGTTTTCAAGTATAATTTTCATCCTAATGAAAGTTCCCACGAGGGGAGATTGCTTCATAGGCTTTCTTACTGATTTGTAATGTTTTATTGCTGACTGTGCAGATTAGTGTATAAAAAGTTGGCTTTATTATAGTCATACAGTGACCATATTCACAATAAGCTGTGGTTAGGGAACTAAACAATTTAATAAATACAATGATCTGTAACCATTTCATTTCTCCACAATGTGATAAGAGACTGTGGAGCTAAAACGGTTGCAACTGTTGGCCCTTTGAATACCATGAGAAGCATATGAATGTGCTATCAGGGCTTGACTAGGAGTCACTTAGCTTGGTGTAACCTACTGATGCACGCCTTCTGACGGAAAGGTTGGTTCAAGGTCAGAGCCTGCAGAGAGAAGAACGAGCCTTAGTGTGTTGTAGCCCACAGCCCAGCTTGTGTTTTACTGTTGGAGGTCAAGTGTGTGGCACAGCGGAGGGAGACCCGGGGTCTGGACGGGCTTCTGTGTCTTGGGAGAATCACTTAAGCTGAGTCTCCATTTGCTTCTTGTGAAGACAACTATCTCCCCTCCTTTACGGGATGGTTTTTTATCTGAAACAGAAGGCGAGTGTGGCTTGGTTCTCATGACTTTCTACCATGCTAACGCTCTGGCAGCTCTCTGAGATTGTCCTCTCATGGATGCTATTGATATTTGATTGCTTTTCATCCCATCCTCATTTCTTAGCCAGTTGCACTTAGATGTATCAGAAGTTGCCTTTCTTCATCAAAGACTTCTTGAGATCCCCCTATAGCTTTGAGAATCTCTGTACCTCCAGCTTTATTCACTTTATAGGTCCTCTCGACTAGATGGCCCCATTCTTCCCTTCCATGCCTGAAGCTGGGGCCATGGCTACTCTACACTTGAGCTACTTCACTTTTTTTGGGTCCTTATTCACACCCATTAGAAGGAAGGGGGCATTGGCATCCAGGGTGGTGGTGATCCGGCCTTGCTTAGGGCAATGCGTTGATGATTAAGGGGTTTGAACGTTAAAGTTGGAGGAGGATTTGCTCCTTATGGGTTTTCTTTAAGGTTTTAAAATTTATACTCATTTTACCTGCTGGGTCCCAGGGTGTAGCCAAATAATTTTGCTGAAATTCTTGAGCAGTTTTTGCTCACGATGTGCATTGGAAGTGTAAGGCCAGCACACGTGGCCACAGGAGAGAGCTATTTTTGAATGTTCTGTTGTCAGCAGCTCAGGGCTTCTGTTATTGATCTGAGAGATGCCTTTAGGAGAATCCTTGCTGTGCAAAGAAAGAGGAGACCACCACTCAGGGGCAGGGAAAGTTCTTGCTGCATTTCCAGCATGGGCCTTCTCTGTCAATGTCGAATACTAGGCCACATTCATTTAGCAGGACTTGCCGACTGTGTGTTGTGCTCTTCCTGACTCATCAGTAGTTACTGAAATAATTATGTGATTTGAGTAGCCATAGCCCAGCACAGTGCACTTTGAATCGGAGCCTCTGGAACAGCTGGGTGAAATAAAGGGTGTGAGAAACAAAAGCTAATGATTTCCTGTCTCTGGAGGCTATAACTCAATTGACCTTGGACTCAGCAATTCTTTCT